AACCCCACCCCACCCCCTCCCCTCCCACCTCTCCCCTTTAGTCTTAGCACTTGTAGGGCAGGACTGAGCAGGCTGACAGATAGCGCACCCAGCTGGTGTCCCGGGTCTGTGAGAGACCCTGGGATCTGAGCAAAGGAGGGGTTCCAGTGGAGTGTGCAGCAGCAACAGGAGCCCCACACACAGCGAGGACAAAAAGCCCATTGGACTCCTTCTGTGTCGCTTAAAAGCTACAGACTGACACTGACAGAGCACTGTCACCAGGGGGATTTCAGCCGTTTTGTGACTGTGCGCGTGTGTGTGTGTGTGTGTGTGTGTGTGTGTGAGAGCGCGTGTGTGTGTGTGTGTGTGTGTGTGTGTGTGTGTGTGTGCGTGTGTGCGTGAGAGAAAACACGCCTCAGGTGCAAGAGCTTTTGGACCGTAATCATCAAAGGATTTCAGCTTGACGAGAGCCTGGAGCAATGTTTTGAAGAACACTGCTCAGCTGCTGTTACCTGTTGGGTCTTTGGCTGGAAATAGGAAGGAAATATCCTGCGCAACCTTTTACAAAAATAAAAGCTCAATATTTAATATCGCTCATAAAGGCTGAATCTTCACATCTCACGGAGGGAGTAACGTTCACCACAGTGGAGCAAGGTGGCGGCGAAAAAGATGCCCACCACAAAGATAAAAAAGCTCCCTTTGAACAGTGACATTGAGAGTAAGGGGATGATAGATGCAAGTTAAGCTCTGAGAGTGACCGACAATTCCCGAAGAGAACCCTGCACTCTGGTCAGAGTATTTCCAGGACATCAGAACTGATTTGACTCCAACGTTGAGCATTAGAGTTGTTATCCACTCAGGAATATGAGTCCGTCTCCAGAGTAAAAAAGCCTTTCATGTGAGGAGCCCGTGACTATCTGCAAGTCTGAGAGGAACCTGCCTTCTTTTTCTGCAAGCGCCGTCAGGAACCAAGAGTTCTCACTTTTCACGGATTATTCAGCCACTCAGCAGGGGAGCTTAGTGCAGGAAATGCCAGAGGCAAGTTCATCCGTAGGTAACAAGCCCTCCTAAACTAGATTGCCTCCTAGCCACCGGATTTGGATTTGTCTACAACCCCCGCTCTGCTGTCTGCTGGTGACGGATGGCTTTGTGAAAGGTGACTTTTCCTGAATTTTGGAATATTTATCTACTTTGCTAAACACACACACCTACACACACATACTGTAAACAGCCAGGGTGGTGTGTCTGTGCATGTGAGTGCCTGCTCACAAGGAACTCATCCACTCCTGTTGAGATGTGAGATTGATTTCTTTCACTCTCTTGTTCCTCTGCCCCTTGAAGACAATTCAGCCCTCTGTAATTCTGTGCGTTAATAACTCCCACAGCGCTATGTGAATGCCCCCCCCCCCCCCCTTCTCCCAGGCATGCATATGGGCTACAACTTCTCTATTTATGGAAATTGCTATCTCAATGATTTCTCATACCTGAAAAGCTCACATTTTCATTCAGTGACTATAATTTGAAGATCTGGATAAGAAGGATATATAACTCTCCATTTCTTTGTTGTTTTTTTAAAACCCAGAAGCTTTAAAACGTACACATCGGCATTGAGCCACCACGAGATACTGGAGTAAGTCTAAGATGGCCACCCCCGTGCATCCACTCTTGATTAGCTTCTCCCTGGCCATCCTGCTGGGGTTGACCTCTCTGGGTGGACTGAACTCTTGGCCGTCAGGTCAGGCTTCGGCCCAGGTCTCTACCGACAACCAGACGACGGAGCCCTCCATGATACCGGAGGCCGCGCTGGCAACCCCTACACCAGAAGCGGAGGACAAAACGGCTCCCTCTAATGGTAACCGTTGCTGGGGTTACTATGATGTCATGGGCCAGTGGGACCCGCCTTTCAACTGTAACGCAGGTATCTACCTGTTCTGCTGTGGCTCCTGCTTCTACCGCTTCTGCTGCCAGTTCAAAATCCACAGTTTGGACCAGACTTCCTGTTCCAACTATGACACGCCCGTGTGGGCAAACACCGGGAAGCCGGAGAAACCTGTCACGGAGGTCCAAGAGGAACCGGACAAGGATCGGACCCACATGATCGTGTACATTATCTGTGGAGTGGTGGCCATCATGGTGTTGGTCGGGATTTTCACCAAGCTCGGCCTGGAGAAGAGTCAGGGAGGACAGACGGACATGACCAACTCCAGGTATGAACTGAGAAAGGTGGACGTATGGATGATGTTGGGCACAGAAGGGAGAGATGATTAATGTGTAGATGATAGATGTGGTAATGATTAGCAGGGGAATAGATGATGATGATGATGACAATGATAATGATGTTGATGTTGCCAACAGTCATTATGATATTGATGCATTTAGTTTCATAAGATTATCTTGAATTGGTTGCCGGCTTGCTGGATGGAAAAAAAGAGTCAATCGGCTCATTTAAAAATATGTGTAAGAAGCTTTCTATTTTAGTAAATGTCTAAATGTTTATATTAATTCCATACAATACATGTGTATTTACATGTTTTACATTTTCTAGAATCAACGTTGTTGGGATGAGAGGATAAAATGAAGAGTTGCGAAGTGGCCATGGGGGAGTAAAGGTCCCATTCATTTATACCATAGACAATGTTAATGTGACTCACTGTTTTGAGTTCTTCAATGGCTACAGCCTACCTGTTGGAGGCATTTACTGGCACACTTCTCTTTTAGTACATGCTAACGTCCTCCCCACACCTGCAGCCTCTGCACCAAGCTAACGCAGTTTCTCCAATGACAGTGCAGACTAAAGACAACTACTAATTGTAAGCATCACAGAATGGTGAAATGATTGTACATGGTGGCACTATTGGGCATTACTGATTGTACGTTGGACACAGAGCAAAAATTATGAAATCTCGTCTGTATATTGGTGTGTTTATGCTTGTACATGTACAGGCGTCAATTCCTGCATGTCTGAATGGACATGTGTGCGTCTGTCTACCCGTTTCTGCATATGTGTGAGAAGGTCACCAGCTGGGTAATGAATCAAGTGACTGAATCACAGAGTGATAATGGGTGTGATGTCTGTATGCAACCATGAGAGAGAGAGAGAGAGAGAGAGAGAGGGAGAGGGAGAGAGAGAGAGAGAGAGAGAGAGAGGGAGAGAGAGAGAGGGAGGTCAGACAGTGGGAGATGGATGGAGATTCCTGTGGACTGATGTCGGGGGATAGCAGGGGAGCAGTTTGGGGGAAATTACCGTGCAGTTGTGTGGTGTTTTCTCTGTATCAGTGTAGCAGTTTCACATTGATGGGTGATTGATTGCTGTGACACAACTATGACTGTGGCAATGTGTGGCCTGCAGTGAACAATGAGATGGGAGAGGGTGGTTTTTTGGAAGGGTGGAATATTGAGCGGATCTGACTGGAGTGCAGCCAACGGCTAATTCTAGTGTAGAGAACAGGGTTGTGTGTGTGTTTGTTTGTGTGTGTGAGAGAGGGGGAGAGGTAGAGATGGAGACAGTGTGTGCTGGGTGTGACCGACCAGCCCATAGGGTGTTAAGAGTCGGGCCATGGGGTCTCCTTTAAAACCCTGTCATTACCAGACCTCCTCTCAATCTTCCAGGGGAGGATGAGGAGGAGGATGAGGAGGAGGATGAGGAGGATGAGGAGGAGGAGGAGGATGAGGATGAGGAGGATGAGGAGGAGGAAGAAGAGGAGGACAGCGGTGGACATCAGTGCTCATTAGTGTTATACTTCACTGAGCCACGCATGACACAATGAAGGCTGGCAGCTCTTGGCATGTTTTCTCCCCTGAATCAAACAATTATGTGTGACACTCTGTACTAGAAACAAGAGGGAGTTTGGGGAGATATTTCTGAAATCTGGTTGGCTGTCTTCCCCACATGCAGGTCAAACACTGTCAAAAGATACTTTGCATCTTTCTTGAAGTTTTCTCAGAAGCGGCATGTGAATGCCTCAAATGAGCAGGACAGATGTTGGCAAGCGTCCTGCTGAAGCGTCCTGGAGCAGGACGCTCTGCTCACTTCACCGTTTACTTTCACCTTCCTGGATGGAAACAGTTTTTTTCCCCCCAATGAAAATAAATAAGATAGCTGATTAAAATGTATTATTATTACCAGTCCTTAAAATCAAGCTGTTAGATAAGGAGCAATCATGCAGAGAACAATTTTATTTCAGCAATTAAAGCAACACATTTATCACCAATGTTATTTCCATATTCGCAAATCCGAAATGACCTACCCCACTCCTCTTTTGTGACACACTGTTGTACAATAAAGAACATCTTTATTTTTTTGTGTATAGCCTTCATCAGGGTCATAAAACACATCACAATTAACAGTTGAATATGATGGGTATGAAGAAAACCCCTTTTTTTAAAAGGTAAAAAAATAAATAAGACAATCTTATACAAAAAACATGCATATCAGCCAACTGGGCACCCACACATAGATGGGATATTCGCAAACTGGCAGAGGGGCAAGGGGAGTTTGCCTCTGTGTTTAAACCACTGTGGCTCGGACCAATAAGCGTCCTGTGAGGCTCTACTGGCAGCTACAGGTGAAGTTTAGGTGTGTGCGAGAAGACACAGAGAGGCCACTGTTCATTCTAAACAACAATGGCAGCTCCAGAAGAGGTAAGCGTAGATGCTGCAAGAGTTTTCCAAACTGGAGGGTTTTTCTTAATATAAAAGAAGAGCAAAGAACGGCACTAAAGGCTTTAATTGATGGAGATGATGTTTTTTTTTTGCTCTTCTCCCGGCTTCGGCAAGAGTTTGATTGACGCCCAATCTGACTTATTTTTGCAACTAAGAGTTATCTGCCTTCTGTCTGCCTTGCAAAATGTCATACCCAAAATACAAAAGAAGTACTGTGACAAAAGCTGAATCGTTACGAATGTGCCCCCTTTTTTTTTTTTTTGTACCACCATGGCATAGTCCCATGGAAGTGCCTTATAACTCATAAGAGAGGACGGTATGAAAGGTCAGTGACAGAATAAAGCGAATGTGAAAAGTGAAAGACAGAACAGAGAAATGGGAGAAGGCTATGTTGGGGAAACAAAGCCAATGAGGACAGAGCTAACCACTGTGGTGATGTGGTATCCTGGACAGTCCACTGGAGCATGAGGAAGGGAGAAAGTTACAAAAGAGAGAAGGAGGTGCTGATGAGTGAAGGGCTTAGCTGTTGTAATTCTGCTGATTTGCCACTGAGAGCTGTGGATGACCGGTTAGCGTCGTGGCCAGGCTGCATGGATAATGATTCTCGATTCTTTCAAAACTTGCTTAGAAGACATTTTCACTCCCGAGGGCTTGTTTTAACACCTTCGGACTACTCTCGACTTCTTTTAGGATGAAACTTGGCTGGTTTTGTTTAAACTGCTGTGGTGTCTGGTTTATTAAATCTTATTAAAAGCCTATTTCGAGTTTTCTGAGCAGTCGTTGGAAGATTTCATCCTGTTCACTGCTTTGCAGATAATCAGTTTTCATAGGAGTTTGGTAATCCATCCGTGTTCTGTGGGTCTGGGGAAAAACAGGTCTGGGAAAGATTTTGGGGGATTATGGTGTGTGTAGACTGAGTGAGAAATGTGATTTCATGAATCGTTAGTTATTCCCATCATGATTGTCTTTTAAGAAAGAAACATCACTGCAGTCTCCCTGACAGAAAGGGTGTGTTCAGCCTAAACACTTTGTAGAGGCAGCGCTTTGCACACAAAGTAGGTGGTACGACACAAGTGGAAGCTAATAGACATATGCTAACAGAGTTGAAAATGTTTAAAATTAAGAAGAAAAGAAAATGTCATGAGCGTACTGAGACAAAAAGGAAAAGAGACGATGTTGGAGGAAAAAACAGAAAGAACAGAAACAGAAACCGCTGATTGTTAGTTGTCACCTAAAATGTAAATATCCCAAAAAATGCATTCCGTTTGAGACCCCGATTATGAAAAGTGAATTGATAATCTTGGACAGTGTTTCTGTTTGCCTGTGAGAAACAGAGACACTGTGCGGACACTTTGTGTCTCTGTGCAGACCGGATGAGCCCATGCAGGTCAAATCATGAATCGTAAAAAAAACAGCCTCATTTTAAAATTCATTCTCAACCTGCATACGTTTGACAGCAAGACACTTCCACCCAGGTATGAGCGAGAAAGTGTAGTGGCTCTGCGTGTAAACGTGTGTGTGTGTGTGTGTGTGTTTGTGTATGTGTCTTGTGTGTGCACTGAACGCATAAATCCAGCCACAAAGCTGTTAAGGTGGTAATGCGCTGAAACCCTGGGTCAGGCAATCACAACAGGCAGCGGTGCAATGATGTATAGCACCAAACACACATGCACACATGTGCACACACACATGCGCACACACACACACACACACACACACAACCACACACACACGCATAAACCTCT